GCTACAGTGCTTCTTAAGTAAGATCCATAATTTTTCAAAAGAGTTCAGACTACTTATACTGGAAAAGCCAAATGAATGAATAATGCACATAGTCCAGGCCATGATTTACAGTTGCATGGACAACCCATAGAACTAGTCAATCAGTACACTTCTAGGACAGACACTGCACATAGACAATGACTTGGGCCTAGGACTGAACTGGGGGATAGAAAGCTGGATTGTCTCTAGGAAACTTTGCAGTGCTTATAATAACTCCAGATTTCTTCCTGAAGAAAAAAAAGGAGGGGATACCTTTTTAAAAAACATTCTTCTTGTAATAGTTTGTGTCTGTGTCATGGAATGCCACAATCATCAAAGAATTAAAATTGAAGGTCATTCAAAGGATATATGATGGGCATCAGCAGGTTTTAAGACATTATCAATGAAGAACTGTACAGGAAAAGTGGGATAAAGGATGTCTTGAGAAATATCCAATCAGAAAAGAAGGTGGGCAGGCCAAGTAGTGAGAGAGGGCAAACAGTTGGATCACCCATGGGCTCCACTGTTATCTGTGCAAAGTCAAGAGATTGAGAGGAAGGTCTCTAAAATGTTGGGTGGGTTTCCTATGGGGTATGTACAGGAGAATATGAGAAAAATTTTCTAATTTCTCTCTACATTATGGGGGTGAGTACCTATATTGAACAACTTATTGACCCGCTGAAATAATGAAGCAACCAAATCCCCATACATGTACATAAAGGGTCAAGGCTGCATGCAACATGAAAAAATGTGTTAAAAAATTCACACGGTGATACTTTACATACCTGACACCTCATAGGAATCACTTTTTTTATTGTACCACCATACATGTATATCATACAGTTACTAAAGGGATAGCTATGTTTTGTTCCTATAGGGCACCATTAAAATAACCGAAGTATGGTTTCAAATATGGCACTGAGCCAAACATGTACCACCTGAACATATTGGCAGGTCCTGATAAATGGAGAGATTAGCACACATGAAGACTTAAATGCAAAGAGAATGGACTTGAGAAGCTGTGTGTGGATGTTAAGATAGATATATACAGATAGGGTGGTATCCCTTGGGGGTGTCACGGTGCCCAGATAACCTGTTGAGAGACCTACTAGAGTGCTTTTGTTTTATAGCAATGTTTTATAATAATAACCCTAAATCCAATAGTTTTTGTATATGATACCTTGCTTTGTTCCATAAATTGGGAAGAGGTATAGGATTCTTGGCAGCTAGATGGCACAGTGGATAGAGTCCCAGGCCTGGAGTCAGAAGACTCATCTTCCTGAGTTCAAATCCAGCCTCAGATGCTTACTAGCAAGGTGATGCTAGGCAATCACATAACGCTTTTTGCCTCAGTTTTCTCATCCATAAAATGGACTGGAGAAGGAAATGGCAAACTTCTCCAGTATCTTTTTTGCCAAGAAAATCCCAAATAGGGTCACAAAGAGCTGGACACAACTGAAAAATGACTGAACAAGAACAACATAGGATTCTTGGAAGTAGAAAAGGTCTGCAATGGAGGGGAGAGAAGGGGAAGATATGGAGAGAGGGAAAGGAGGAAGAGGCAGGAGGACAGGTGGAGAGAAAGAATCTGAACCCTCTAAATCCAAAAATAATAACAAAAAGAGGCAAGAATGAAGAGTCCTAGAGTCTACTAATGCTTGGTAAAGATAGAAGGTATGGTAGAGAATAGTAGCCAAGGCTACGCTGAAAAAAAAAGGCCAGAATTATGTAAGGGTTATTATATAGAGTTTCCTATTCCAAAGCAGGCTACAGAGACCAGTGATTTATCCATCTAGACAGATAGATATACAGAAACAGGTATATATCAATAGCTATGTATGTATATACATGCACACAGACACAGACATGCATACTAGAGTAGCTGCTTAGCTATTTTTTGCATGTTCCCCGGGTGATTTCTCTTTCTACTTTGGTAACATGAATACTTAAAGCTATAGCTTTTCATACTCAATACTTTGAAGAGCCCTTATTTGGGGGAAGGGCGTGGGACAGAGCAACTCCACAGGGATAGAAAAAGAGCTGGCAGTTGACCAAGGGTCAATTCTAATCCTTGCAGTTTAGGGTCAAAAAGGGGAAGTTTTGTTTCATCTCTGAACCATAGTCAACAGAAAAAAAAAAACCAAAACACTCCACACCCTTTGCCCTGTTGGGAAATAGGCCCAGTGGCCCTGGATGAAAGTCCTGCAACTATGTCTTACCCTTCCTAAAGTCTCCCTGACCCTATTTGTAAGGAATATTATTCTCTCAGTGGAAAATACTTGACAGCTACATTCCAGTGCTTACTGTAGTATAGAGCTTTCTTCTCACCTCACCCCACCTCTCTCTCTCTCTGTCTCTCTCCTCATCTCTTCATACTCCAACCTCTCCAGTATAAGAACCACCTTGTCACAGACAAAAAAAATGTAATATTTTGTGTCTCATTTTAAAAGTGTATATTGTAAAAGTAAAGTTTAGTTGTTATTTCAAAGCCTACATTTAGCTAAGTGTTAGGTTCTATAGAATTTTTCATGAGCAAAAATAAAATCCTTTATGATTATTTAATAAATGTTTCCCTTAAAAAAATAAAATTCCCAGGGTGCTCATGGCACATACATATTTCTATAAGTGACTAGCTAGCAATAGGGCACTATAGGTAAAAACTAAAAGAAGGACTCATCAGATAAACTCTCAAGTGGGAGTGAATGAGAACTCACACACACACACACACACACACACACACACACACACACACACACACACACCCCAATACAGTAAGTAAAAGGAAAAAAGTGAGTAGTGCTACTGTTGGTAAGTAATATGCTGGTTTTGAGTATTGGGGCTATAAGAAGTAATTCTAGTTCCCTACTATACCTTACACAAAAATTGGGAAAACTACAGGAGCTTTAAATAGATTGTGGGATATCACAATTGCTTTGAAGTAAGTTTGTGTTTCCCAAATTATTCACCCCCAAGAAAAATATGGAGGTGGGAATGGGGATATTTCTGGTCTTTCCTCCTGTCCCTGTCAGGGTAATAATGGTGAATCATCCATATTCCCAAATCAATGATGTCTGAATATTTCTGGTGTGACTGGATTGGTCAAAATACACACGTTAACAATTACTGCCTCAGGGAAGGAGAAAAGACCAGCATACAGATTCTCCTCTAGCTAAGGGGTACCACAGCCTGACTTTTGGACAGCTGTGAAACAGTCTCACGAGATGAGGCATGTAACTATGGAACCCATCCCACACATGTAGACCTTTTCCACTCTTGACTCACTGCTACTTTTTCCAACTCTTATCAACTTTTCTTTTTGATTTTTGCACATTGCAAAGCTAGATCTATTTTGGTAGCCTGGCCTTGTACCCAGTTTGGAGTCACTGCTGAGCTGCTCAAAACTACCCAGTCACCAACACTTTCCTCTAAAATAGAAACTTTGAAATATTACTGTAACATTTCACTGACCAGAGTAAAGAATTTTAGTTGGTTATGGGGACCACACACAAATCTAATAAGGAGTAGAACAACAAAGGAGGCAGAAAATATAATTAGGAATTTATTCATTTAAAGTAAATTATTATTAAAGTAAATCTATTATTAAGAATTATTAAAGCATGATTCAGTGTAATTCTTGTCTATTGTGATTTAGTGTTTCTACTAAATGTAGAAATTTCCTGTGGAGGAACTTTATTTACATTTCTTTTTGTTGGCTTTTCTTGGGGGGGGGGGACCATGTGGTCTGGGAAGTTCATGAGTCAATCTTTTTTAGACCAAGTGACAAAACCATCCCAAAGGAAGTCAGGACAACATGGTGGCAGCACCCAACCACAGCATGGGAACTCACTGTCATGAAATGTAATAGAGTATGTCTGTCTCTTACCTCTTTGCCAACCAGACATCCTTGCTCCCTCTTGTAAGAATCAGTCACTAGGTTGTTCCCCTGTCACAAATAATCATCCACTACTGTGTCAGACTCTGCCACAAGCAAATTCAAGTGACATCCTGACTGCTGTCAGCCCTAGGGAAGAGTGGAGCCAGATAGGTTTTTAGCTAGAGAAATCCCAAAAGCCACCCCAAAATACCTATAAGGCAAGGGTATGTGTGTGGGTGGCACACAATTCCTTGAAGAGGAGTCTTTGCTAGGATACCTAATGGGGAATCCTCCTGATGTCCAGTCCCCTGAGGAAACTGGCTGGATTATTTGCAACCTCTGCTAGAGGGAGTGTGGTATAGTCCATACTTCCTGACTTTTTTTTTTTAAACTATCAGTTCATCAGTAATCAGTTGTCTACCATTTCAGTTACAGGGCACTAATATCATCTAATTACTCTCTAATTATCTAGTAATTTAATAACATACACAACTTCACAGTAATAGGGAATGACACAAGGTACAAAGTAAAAGTAATTAGAAAATCATCAGTTTAGAATGCAGACACAGACACCTGAATCCACCTAGACTGGGGGTGGGTGAGGGGTTTGTTTGATGAATTTGCTCTTGGTCAAAACTTGAAAATTTAAAAAAAAAGACCTTCTGAGAAACTCACCAGTCTTTGGACAATTAATTGAAGCCAGGCAGACTAGATAACACACCTGTAAATCACCTCTTTAATTGGCTTTGGGAAATACATTAATAATCTGTATTTTAGTTCTTCGATTTCTTACCCTATCTTTTCCCACCCCCAACTTTCAAATCATAGCCAAAATAAAAGTAAAAATATCCTTAGAAATTGCTTCTCTAATGGCTAGGACAAAAAAAGAGACACCAACCACTTTTCCTTAGTGTCTCCCTTAGTAAGTGTTGAAACTGTGTTCAATTCAGAAATAGTAGGCCGAATAAAAAAGGACCACAAATTAAAAATCCATCATTCCCATGCAGTAAACCTGCTTCTAATTAAATCTAGCACAAAATGCTACTTCATTGGTTTCACAAGAATAGGAAAGAGGCTTTTAAAAAACAATTTTAATTTGGGTCTAAAATCCGAAGCATCCAATCAAAACTAGAAGACACTAGTAATCCTTTATTGAGAATACAGAAACGACTAAATGTTCACGAGCACACTTTAGGGACTCTTCTATTTTGTTCAACGTGAAATCAGGAGGAAAAAACAATAATCCTAAAGCCTGAGTTAAACAGATTGTATATTTTTGAAAATGAGGGATGGAAGAAGAGGGAAAAAAAATAAAATGAAGGGTTTACATAAAAGCCAGATGAAGGAAGAACATTTAAATTCAGCACTTATTTGCTCTTAGCCTGGGGATGATGGTGAACAGAACAGCCCACTTTTCTTGTTCTGAGGCTTTCTGGGGGTTGGCATAGGGAATGGGTATTGAAACACACACCTGAGTGGAAGTATGCCAGCTATGCTGGAAAATGCATTGCATCTCTCGTTCTAATGTTGCCCCTATGCTGGCTTCGTGTTGTAGGTCTGCCTTATTACATGGCCCCATTTCAGTAATTAAATCTTTCTGGTTGGGGTCCAAGAAAGAGCCACCTCTTATCAAATTCTGCACTTTTCCAAAAATGTTGTCTTGAGATTTCTGCACTCCCTTTTCTTAGGGTCTTGCTGAAGACAACTGTATTAGGCAAAGGGGCCATTTAAAATAAGGCAAGCGAGATTGGTGGGACTCCCAATTTGGGGAAGAGATTCAGCTCAGTCATCTTAACCTTAAAGAGATTTGTCTGCTTCGATAACGTGACATGTGTATTTATGCGTGTATATATAGATCTATATTTAAACTTGTGATTTTTTTTTTTGTAAATGACAATAGTGGTGACCAGGCTTAAATTCTAAAAGGCATTCCTATGGTACTTGGCAAGTACAATGTGTTTCTTCTCAAAGTGAACTGTTCTTTCCTGTGCTGGGTACAGTCACAAAGTTGTTTAATATGTGCCCAAGATGCAGAGCAGGGGGAGGGGGTAAGGAAGGAGGAAAAGAAACGGAGGAAAACATCACCCATGATGCTAGATCTTAAGCAACACATAGAAAAAGCCAAAGATACATTTAAAAATAAGGAAAGAAAAAATACAGTGGTTACATCACACTTCCAATTAAATTGGTGTGTTCTCCCTCGTCCCCTTCACATGAGGCAAAGACACCAAAGTCACCAGTAATACCTCATTTATTAATTAGACTATGCAAACCATTTTCAACCGCTGCTCATTCCATCACTTTTATCTCAATGGCAACCAATTTAATTTTTCTTTTTCTTCTTTTTCCCCATTAGACATTTCCTAAACTGCCAGGTTAAGAACTGCCTGGACAAATTCGAAAAAACCAAACGGTCTTCCATTCAGATCTAAATGGTTTCAAGAATGAACGTGTCTTTTCTGCTGGTTTCATCCTCATCAGTTGACAAGCCATGATGTCAAAAGACGTCACAGTCTTCCCTAAATTTCCTCCCCATTTTCTAACGTAATGTGATGACATGCCCCACAACTAGCAGCACTTAGTATTAGCAGGGGGGCCCCATGTCTGTCAAGTCTCCTCTATTTGGAGCCTGAGTCCACTCATTAGCTTCCAGTGGGTGTCATAAGGAGCCTTACACCCTATTGAACAGATACAATTGACTGTATAAATGGCTAGCAACCTAAAAAACCCAGGTCTGGTGCACGAAGGACTGGCAGAGCACTCACAATGCAGCTGGGGGGTGACTTCTTGGTGGGGTGGGATGGGACACTTCTTCAGTGGAAGCCCCTGATAACCAGCTCCTCCTCCTGACCAAGTCTCTATTTCTACCCCTATAAAGGCCTCGCAGTGTCACTCTCCAAGCAGGGCGGTGGGCGTCACCAGGTCCCTGATTGGACATCCAGAGCGGCAGATTTTCTTCTTCCAATTCGAATTCCCTCTCCCTTGATGTGGGTCCCTTACCCAGGCCTCGAGGCACGAGAACGATGCGTCAATGGGACGGTGAGGCGTCCTCCAAGCCCAACAACTCCTTTATGAGTCTTTCCCCAAACTGTGCCCGACTGTATCTCTTCACGTGGTAGGCCTCGGACATCTTATACACGATGTAGGCATTATTGATCGCGATGCTGATGGCAAACCAGAACACCTGTTGCCAGGTCTTGTTTGGTTTATGAGAAATGAAATACCTGAAAAGGCAGACAAGACAAGGTGAGCCATAAATCGATGGGTCTGGTCACATAGTTGGGTAAGGGGTATTTAAAGAGAGTCTAAGTTTTTCAAGGATAGAAACCTTGTTTTATAATAATAACCAGCATTTAGAGAGTGCTAGATATTCTACAAAATGATTTACAAGCATTGTATCCTTCAATCTTTCTTAAATATATTTCCCATAAGAATATAAGTTTTTAGAACAAAGTAAAAAGTGAATACCAGAGAACAAAAGAAATTTAGAAGGAACAAAGAAAAGATGGAGAGCTCTCAACACAATACGTAGCATTTATTATACAGGCTTTCTTGAAATGGAAATTTATTGCTACATATTTTGAATCTTCTCTTATGTTCTGTTGTGCACATGACATGCTTTTTTCTTTTCTTATTTTGTATTTGTTTCAATATTTAAGTTTATAAAATGTTTCTTTATATTATTTATTATATTATATATTATTCATATTATATATAATATAAACATTTATGTTTCTTATTGTGTACTTAAATTTCAGTAATAAAAAAGAGAAAATAAATAAAAACCAGAAAAAAGAACATAAGCTTTTATTTTATTTTATTTTATTTTTTTGGTTAGGCAATGGGGTTAAGTGACTTGCCCAAGGTCACACAGCTAGTAAGTGTTATGTGTCTGAGGCTGGATTTGAACTCAGGTCCTCCTGAATCCAGGGCCAGTGCTCTATCCACCGCGTCACCTACCTGCCCCCAAGAATATAAGCTTTTAGAGGGTGAAGACTATTTCATTTTTGTTTCTGGACCCCCACGCCTGAGTACAGTGTCTGGCATTTAATATATAGTTATTGGTTGATTGTATTCTCTCAAACACCTTATATAATTCTGGGTAAACAGCAGGTGTTCAATAAATGCTCATTGAATGAATCATTAAACAAGAAAACAACCTTCTCTGACTAAGCTGTAATTTCCAATTTATTACCGTATATTCTAATGAATATGTATTCTCATCTATGGTTAAAGTCAGATTATCTCCACCAAGTATGTCTGGGAAATCCCCATATTCTCATGCCCCTAGGTAGACCTTCCAGGGGCCTCAGGATACTTGCTGACCCCAGGTCACCCTGAAAAAAGTACAGAAAATTCAAGTTTCCCCAACCCTAGATAGTTGAGTAAATGATCACTTGCTCTTTGGGGGTAGTCCAACCTTGAGCAGAGCTTAGAAACATACCCATTATAATTCACTATCATGTTACTATTCAAGAAATAATATTTATTTAGCTCCTTTAATAAGGGTAGACAGGTGGTGCAGCGGATAAAGTGCTGGGCCTGGAGTCAGGGACACCTGAGTTCAAATCCAGCCTCAGACACTTACTAGCTGTGTGACCCTGGGCAAGCCACTTAACCCTGTTTGCCTCAGTTTCCTCATCTGTAAAATAAGTTGAAGAAGGAAATGGCAAATCACTCCAGTATCTTTGCCAAGAAAACCCCAAGAGCTGGACATGACTGAAACAACTAAACAAAAAACAATAAAAAGTTTTCATATCAAAGTGTGCTGAGTGCTAGGGATAGCACGTGTCTGTGTGTGTGTGTGTATGTGTGTATGTGTGTGCATGTGTAGGGAACTGTCAGAAAAATGATTTCCACTAACTTACAGTTTGGTTCAAAAGATATGTGGAATGACAATGAACAGCAGTGTGGAGATTAAGTACAAAAATGAATAACCTAGAACAGTGGTTCTCTAAGTGTGTTCCAGAGACCTCCTGGGGCTTCCTAAAACCCTTTCCCAGGGGTCCACAAGGTTAAAACTATCACTAACAAAAACATCACTACACATTTAATTTTTTTTAAAAACAGGAATAATCAGTAGATACAGCCCCAGTAGATACAGTAGATAAAGCTCTTTGAGGGATACTCTATAGTTTTTAAGAGGATAAAGGAGTTCTGAGACTAAAAAAATTGAAACTACTGGTGTAGACAACGAATACAACATGTACTCAAGTGAAAGAGGTAATAGGATATGAGCTGAAGAAGTTAGGAAGACTTCATGGAGAAGGTGGGATACTTACTGGGTCTTGACAGATGGATTTAGCTAGGTAGAAAAGTGAGGCAATGGAGTTGGGTGTTACAGACCTTTGCCCAGCTTGGGGAGCTGGGATGTGTGTGCAAACAAAGAACAGAATGACAAAGACTTGGACTTGAGTATAAGCATGATGTGAATAGGGTAGAATGAAGCCACATACCTGGCTGGTATGTGTCTTTTACTTGGCAGTAAAGAGAGACAAGATTTGGCAGGCAGAATAGGATGAGCTTAGAAGAAGCCATGAATGACAAAAAGTTTGGAGGCAATAGGGGCACACTTCTCTGAATTTCCCAGGTTTCCCATTTTATAAACAGAGAGGCATAATGACTATTTTAGGGATCATACATTTAAATCTGGAAGAGATCTTACAGGTCATCTGGTCCAAACCCCCAAATTTTACAGATGAGGAAATGATCTCCAAGATGTTAAATGACTTTTCTAACTCAAGTCACATGAGGTGCCAAGTGTCACAGCACGGTATCTATCAATCTACTGAATAAGTAGTGGTGAGAAAATGAGTTAGCATCCCCATATCATGGTGGTTAAGGATACCCTTTTTTTTTTTTTGCTTACTTGCTATATTTGTCGTCATATTTGCAGATATAGCTAAGGTGAGCAGCGAAAGCTTCCACAGCCAAAGGGCAGGGGATTTCTCCACTTTTCCTCTTGATGATCACTCCTGCATGGAAAAGAGAATCATTCCTTTTCTTAATTTTTTTGTATTTCAAAGCGGGGGAGGAGGAATATTTTCTATAGAAGAGCCTAACTCTGGTCAGCTTACCATAAACAAGCCTTAAAAACAACAGCTCTAAGAAAGAAAATCAAAAGATTAAAAGAAAAACCCATCACTAAAGAATTCTGTCGAAATGAGAAAAATGAAAGGCAGATGAATATACAGGCTAGGAGAGAAAATATGGACTTTACATTAGATACATGGTAATATAGTGATATAAAAATACAGGTTGGAGAGGTATAAATTGTGCTCTGTGTGTGTGTGTACGTGTGTGTGTGTGAGACACATAGAGGAATCCTTCCCTCATCTTTTCAATTCCATTCCTTCCCTTCCGTCCACCACTTTGGCCCCATTCCAACAATAACAAGGCCTCCTCCTCTCATCCTTTTCCCATCCATCACATGTAGAGACTCAAAATAGCCATCACACGTGGAATTCAGGGGATGCTGTTGTTGTCTGTTGTTTCATTCTTGAAGAGGATCAATGACATTAATGATGTCTTGACTTGTGTGTGAGATGGATTTAAGTGAGGCAGAGCTGTGCAACATTGTTAGCCTCACTCTCTCCTCCAGAGTCATCAGAGCCCAGAGGCAAGACAAAAGTCAGGACTGGCGATGGCCCAGGATGCAGCGAGTGACTCGGCCTTTCTAAATTAAGTTCTTTTCCAGATCTCAGTTTGTCTGAGGCCACACCCATTCAATGACTAAGGGCAAGGCGATGGAAAGGCAACAAAGGTGGCACCTGCTTCGAGGTGCAAGTATAGTGTTAATATCACTTGAAAAAGTGAATTGGAATTACCGATGTCTTCCTCCATTTGCCTCCTCCTCCAACCTCACATGCTTCAATTTAATTTAACAAACAATTTATTCAGCATGTACTATGAATGAGGCATTGTTCAAGGCTCAGGGAATACAAACACATACAACAGTATCTGTCGTCAAAGCACATACGCTCTACTGTGGGGACGAGGATGGGATAGAGAGAGTGGAAAAGAGATACACAACACATACACAGCTAAATAGAACACAAGATAATTTAAGGAGGGAGAGGTACTGATAACTGGGGCGGGGGAGGTGATTTATTGGGGTTTACTAATAACTGGGAATTACAAAGAAAGTTTCACAGAGATCCTGAGTTAAGCCTTGAAGATGAGGATTCTGAAAAGTAGAGATGAAGAGGAGATTGCCTTCAAAGTATGAGAGAATTCCTGTGAGTATACAGTTACGGGAGATGCATTGTCAAGCTTGGGGAATTTTTTAGTAGTGGTTAGAATTTAGAATGCATGAAGGGTAGTAATGTAGAATGAGGCTGGAAAGGTAGGTTGAATCCAGATCATGAAGTGCCTTGAGTTCTGGCTAAAGAATTTGCATTTTATCCTAGGGTCATTTTCAATCTATGGACCTGTGATGCCCTGGGGATGAGGGTCAAGGAGTAATTACAAGAAGTTTAAGAATCTATATTGCCAAAAAACAACAACAACAACAAAAAAAACCCAATGACTTTAGTTCATGTAAATGTTTTGTGCATATACTTATCACCTTTTTTCAAATGTATGTAGATGCTGTTGGGATAGGTAAAAGTTCATCTAAAAGCTTCAAAAACTGGATACTAGCTTTTTGCTATGATGTTTTTTCTCAATAGAAATGAATTGCTAATGACAACTTTATTACATATTTAAAAGGAAAAACAAGTTGTACATAATAGATTTGCAGTTTCACATGCAATCATCTTTTTTATTATACTATGATATGGAAATGCTTGTTTTAGTCCATAAATCTAAAAATAAGTAAATAAATAAATAAATGGGAAAAAGTATTTGCGTGTACATTGACGATTATTAAACATAATAAAAATAAAAATGTCTTAAAAAAGAAATAAACTGTTAGTATCATGTAAAGGCCTGTGAAATTTCTGGACATTAAAAAGGGTTTCTCTCACTTGAAAACGTTGGATAACGTTGTCTTAGAAATAAGGCACTGAAGTTAATTTAACCAGGGGTGAAATCGTCAGATCCATGCCTTAGGGGGATTATTGTGACAAAAATGGGTTAGAGAGGGGATAGACTAGAGCAAGGGCTCTTAACCTGGAGACTGTGGACTTATTTTAAAAAATATTTTACTAACTGTACTAAATAAATTGGTTTCTTTTGCAATCCTGTGCATTGTATTTTGTGAATTTAAAAACATTATTCTGAGAAAGAGAGCCAAAGGCTTTGCCAGACTCCCAAGGGAGTCTAAGAATCCCCAGACTAGAGTCAGAGATGCCAATTAAGAGGTACAAGTGAGAGATGATGAGGGCCTGGAATTGGGTAGAGGCTGTGTGACTGGAGAAGCAGACAGATTCAAGAGATGTAGGTATAATCAATACAGATTTAGCAACTTATTAGATATGGGGGGAAGGTACCCCAAGCCTGGATTGAGGAAGACCCGAGTTCAAATCCATTGTCTGACACTAGCTGTGTGACTGGTCACAATTTCCTGTTCTGTAAAATAAGTTAGAGAAGGAAATGGCAAACCACATCCATATCTTTGCCAAGAAAACCCTAAATGGGGTCACAAAGAGTTGAACATGACTGAAATAACTCAACAACAACAACAAAAAGGTAAGAGAGGGAGGCAAGTTGAGGATAATTAAGATTACCTGGAAGAATGTGAAGATGACACAGAAAGAAGGAATGTTGGAAGAGGGGAGGACTGACAAAAGTAGGGGTTAGGAAGATGCTGAATTCAACTTTGGACATGTTGATTTTGAGGGGCTGATAGGACACCCAGGTAGAGATGTCCAGAAAGCAGTTGGCAAGAAGTATTGGAGTGTTGGGATCTGAGATTAAATAGAGACACTTGGAAGTCAGCTGTGTGGACCTTGATAAATAAACCTGTGAGAGCTGATGAGATTGCTAAGAGAATGTAAGAGAGATGAGGGCCTAGGATGGAACCTTGGGGGATATTGACACTCAGCTGGTGGTAGATGAATGATGACCCAGCAAAGGACACTGGGTAGAAGCGACTGGACCCACAGGATCGGAAGTGATCTCTTCCTCATAGGAGGAAACCTAGGAGAATGCAATGCCATGGAAGTAAGAGGAGAATGTATACGGTAGCTATCAAAAATGGCAGAGAGGTCAAGGGAGAGAAGGACTAAGAAAAGTCCATTGAATTTAGCAGCTAAAAGATAGTGATAGCAAAGGAAAGAATAATTTCAGGATAGCAGTAAGATCAGAAGCCAGACTGCAAGAGGATTGAGATATAGGTGTGAGGCAAAGCAGTGAAAGCAACGACTGCAGACAGCTGTTTCTAGGAGTTTAGCAATGAAAGGCAGGAGAGGTATGGGATGATAGCTTGAGGAGATGGCAGAGCCAGGGGAAAGTGTGTTTCCATGCAGCAAAGCAGAGTTATTTGTGCTTTTTATCTCATTTCTCTTCCCAATTGGGCTTCTGATTTTTTTTCATGCCTTCACAGGAAGATTTTGGATATTCCCACGTAATCAGATAAGATAGAATAAACTTCCTTGTACTTTTCTCTCCTCAACCCCAACCAAACCCTTTTCCCCACAACAAATTGTATAAATCCATCACAACACAAATTAACACAAATATATTCCATTCCATGGATATGAATACTTATCTGGTCATTGAAAGATTAATAATAATAGTTCAAATTTGTATATCATTTTAAGCTTTTTTTAAAGTATGTTTTTCACAACAATTCTATGAGGAAAGCAGTTCAAGGATTTAGGCTGTGTGTGTGTGTGTGTGTCTCATTTATGCCTGTGATTTCATTAATGTAAGAAACTCTCAGTGAGGCAACTTTCTCCATCAATGTAGATAGGAATTTTTTGCAACTTATAAAACTAAGAACAGAGGTTCTTAATCTGGGCTTTGCAGACCTCCAAGAGGTCCATAGATTGCAGAAGGTTCATCAACTTGGATGAGAAAAAGAATCCTTATTTTCGCTAACCTTTGATCTCCTTGGGAATCCTATGTATTTTATTTTACACATTTAAAAGATGTTATTCTGAGAAAGGATTCATAGGCTTCACCAGACTGCCAACGGGGTCTATGACATAAAAGAGGTTAAGAACTTCTGTTTCTTCTGCAAGGATTATTATTCCAATTTTATAGATGGGAAACAGGCTGAGAGAGGTTGTGCTATGCCAAAAGTTAGTAAGCATCACAGGCCAAAGCTTAAACCCAGGTCTTTAGACTCTGAAATTAGTGTTCTTTCCACCATGCCGCTTACACACAAAAAAATAACAACATCGTACAAATAGGATGTAAAAGCCAGAGAGAGAGAGAGAAAGAGAGAGAGAGAGAGAGAGAGAGAGAGAGAGGGAGAGAGAGAGAGAGAGAGAGAGAGATTGATTCATCAACTTCAATCACTTTGCTGTTTTAGTTCCAAAAAGTTCTTTTTCATGGCATATTTCCACTATGGGAAGCTAGGTGGGGCAATGGGGATAGAGTGCTGGGCCTGAAATTAGGAAGAACTGAGTTCAAATTCGGCCTCAGACACTTACTAGCTACGTGACCCTGGGCAAGTCACTTCACCCTGTTGGTCTTGATTCCCTCATCTGTAAAAGGAGCTGGAGAAGGAAATGGCAAACCACTTCAGTGTCTTTGCCAAGAAAATCCTAAATAAGGTAATGAAAAGTCAGACACAACTGAAACAAATGAACAATAAATACTTCTACTATATCAAAGAAGCCCATATCAGTTCCAGAGATCATGCTATCAAATTGTATAAGGAGGCATTGAACTAAAGAATCTTTTATGCCAAAATATGGTTTAGGATTTACATATACCCACTGATTGATCTTTAATTTTTTTGACCTAACTGACCTAAATTTTGATCTAATTAATTGCCCTAAATTTTTTATTTTAATATGACCATTTAAAATTTTTTTTAACATTTTTATTTAAAGTTTTGAGTTCCAAATTCTATCCCTCCCCC